GCAGCTCTGTTTCTTTGGCTGTTCAACTTAAGCTTCTGCAGGGTGGGAGAGCATTCACACCATAATACTATTTCATCTGCACAGGCTCCACTCTGAGGGAAGCATGGTAAATGTGATCATCTGGCTCATGTTAGATGAAGAAATGGAGGTTCAGGGAGATTTAGGGAGCTTGCTTAAGCTCGCAGATTAGGGAAACTGGGACTCTGCTCTCCTGACTCCCCGTCCACAGTCTCCCAAATGACACCAAGCCATGTCCCCAGCCAAGACTCCATGTGCACGTGCTTAGAAAATTGAGAGAAAGCTTTGCCCTTTCAAACAGAGACAAAAATTCTGCTACCTACCTATCATGCACCAAGGAATCTGACTTTTCCTCTCCTTTATCATTTCTCATTTTTAGAGGAAATGAACTTGACTGCATTATTTAAGGAGTTTGTGGGCCAGGAGAACTTTTCTAGCTGGAGGACTCTAAGTTTCTTCTCTCATTTTTGAAAAGTAATCATCGCATGACCTCATGCTTTCTAAAATCTTCTTTCTCTTCTCCCCACCCTACCCTAACTTTTATCTGGCCACAAATTAGACACTATTTTTATTACTCTAAACAGTCATTGTGCTTTTAGCTTTACCAACATGTCTTCTATTTTCTTTCCTCATTATTCCATCTTGCTTTCCAGCTCTCTCTCTGGAATAGTTTTTCTTTTTCCAGAAGTGCATCCTTAGAAACTCCTTTAGTGAGAGTCTGCTAGCAGTAAACTCCCTTGGGTTTTTTTCTGAAAATGTCTTTATTTCACTTTGATTCTTAGAAGACAGTATTTTCTGACATGTGATTCTAGGTTGACAGTTATTTTTTTCATCCCTTTGATGCTATCATTCCAGTCTTTCATTGTTGCTGCTGGGCAATCATCTATCTGTCTAATTATTATTCACATGAAGGTAATCTATCTTTTCCTCTCTGGAAATTTTTAATAGCTTCTCTTTGCCTTTGGCATGCTAAAACAGCACAATGATGCATTGTGTAGATTGTTGGGCTCCTTGAACATGAGACTAGTGTTTTTTGTCAGTTCTCAAATATTATAGCCATTATCTGTTTGAACCATGGCTCTCTTTTATCTCCTCTGGATCTCTGGTTAGACTTGTACTGCATCTTCTCATTTATCCTTCATACGTCTTAATATATTTTTTCCTTGCTTTCCATCTCTTTGGTTTTTTGGACTATATTTTAGGTGATTTTCTCATATTTGCTTCTAGTCCATTAATACTCTCTTCAGTTGTGTCTAATCTCCTGTACAGACAATACACTGGCTTTCTAATTTCATTTAACTTGTTTCATTTTAATAAATTTCATGGATTTCTTATTATACAAATTTAAACATCAGTTTTAATATTATTTTTCTTCATCATATGGTTGGTTCTTACTGTTTTTTTAACATGTCAAACATTTTAATATAAACATATTTATCATATATTCTGATATATATATATATATATATATCAGGCATAGCACATGTTTTTTATATATCATATATAATCAGATATATCTGATAACTCAGGTATCTGCTTTTTTAAAAACCTGATTCTGTAGAAGTCTTTCTTTCTTTCTTTCTTTCTTTCTTTCTTTCTTTCTTTCTTTCTTTCTTTTTTGCTGACTTTGGCAAATGTGTTTTTCCCTTACATGTTTAATGAATTTTTATTTGGACCTCATTTATTTTGGGGAACTTTGTGTAAATGTGTTTAAAATGCTTTCCTGGAATTAGATAATACCAATAAATTATTAGTAT